TCCTCCTCCTCCTCCTCCTCTTTCACTACTCCTCCTGTTAGTAAAGCGTAACTGGGACCCTTCATTGTTAGATGTCACCGCCCCTTCTGAAGTCGGCTGAGCACCCAGAAAACGTACAGAATTATGTAAAGGGAAGGGCAGCCGACGGGCTTCACCCAAGGACAGACTCACGCGTCATTCCACTGTGTGGCACCAACTGGCATTCGTGTAGGTCAGGAATGAAATCTCCTCTCCTGCTCCCCCATCCCGCTGTAGACCTGGGGCTGCAGAAGTTGGTTTTCTCTGCTTGGTAGCCCGGGGAATTTCTGGTGTCGAAAGAATTTTGATTGGGTCAAATTGTATGTACCCTCTGCACACCGGACTTTTAGTTAATCTTTCGGATGTTTTGGAGTCTTTGTGTAGACTTTTAAAAAATACGTGTATCTTCCGTATTTTGGTAAAGGACTAAAACCACAACTGCAGTGCGGTCACAGAGAGGGGAGCACGATTCAGAAATGTGCTGCAAGTGGCTGATAAACTTCTGCAGTCATACTGAGCTCTGTAATAATCCAAGGAACACAGATTATGTTATAGGACCCCCCCAATTCCCCTGTCTGGGTGGCTCAGTAACTGAGCAGGGTTGGGGAAGACACCAATAGTGACAGTTTATCCATGTCTTCAAACGTTCTGGAAGGGAAGCTGGCAGATTGGCGTGGTTCTACTCCTGCACGCCCGAATTCCATCTTAGGGGTTTACCTTAAGGAAGCAAGGATTGCATCAGTTTAGGAAGTAGGAAGTCAGAAAGCCCTAAATGCCGGGGCAGAGGGTCCATGCAGCAAATCACAGCTCAGAGAGCAGAGGGGCGGGAGGCAGAGGGCTAAAGCACAGTAGGGAAATAGGATTGGAATCGAGAAGGCGTCTGTGCTCGGAAGGGGTGACAGTGAGGAAGCACAGGTCACCAGCTCCGAAGTTCCAAGGGACTGCGCAACGTGTGGACGGTTCTGGGTCTGCGGTGCCTTCATCATTAAGGAGGAATGTTAGAACCCATTTGTAAAAACAGCCCCCGAGCCACAGAAAGCAGCACACGCTCACCCTGAGTGACACACAGGGACCCACCGGCCTGTCCCCTTCCCCTCCAATCTGGGGGTGCTGCGTGTCCCCTGGCCCCAGCTCAATGTCCTCGGGACCCTGGAGCGTGGCTTCAACCGAGCTCAGTACTTTTGAGGAATAGGACGCTGGGCTCTGACTTTCTTTCCACATGGAAAGCGCGTGGACAAATCTGAGTGCTTCTGATTTTCTTCATAACTAATGTTTCCGTGACAGACTTGTTCTGCCTGGGCTGAGCGTCTGACTCATCCTCCTCCGCACGCTGGTGCGCAGCCTGTCCCACCGTCGCTGTGAGCAGTGTTAAGAAGCACTGCTGCACACAGGCTTGTGGATCAGCCCTGCAAGGGCCCCCTCTGCAGAGAACATGAAGCGCACCATGTGAGCTTGCTGGAGGAACTGGCCCTGAGGAATCACCGAGGTTTAACGCAAGCAGAAGAGGGGGGGCCTGGTGGTACACACTTAGAGTCCTGGCTACTAGGAGGCTGAGGCAGGAGGATGGCTGGTTCATGAGAAATTTAGCAGGATGTTGTCCCAAAGTAAAAAGGGCTGGTGGAGCTCTTGCCTCAGTGGTAGAGCTCTTGCTTAGGTTCCATTTTCAATCCCTATTACTTCAAGAAACAGAAAGTAAACTTCTTTGAAATGGGAATACAGTAAGGCAGTCTGTCTGTATAAATCAATAGAACCTGCAGAACAAAAACTCATAGTTATGCTCTTTATTTGTGTGCTCAAAAGTGAGGTTTGCATTCACCCCTTCTTTCCCTTCCTGCTTTTCTCTCACATCCTCCATCCAGAAGTTCATGAGGTACCTTGTATTTCTTTCTTTTGGTACCAGCGATGGAACTCGGGACCTTGCGCTTGTGAGGCAGTCAGCGGAACCACTGAACTAAATCCCTGGCATGGTATCTTGTGTTTCTGAGCACTTGTTAGGTTCTGCGGAGGCTGAGAGTCTGAATAAAGGTGCACATTCTTTGATGGTCTTCGTCTTTATTCCTGCTGTTTCTCTTAGCTTTCAGCAGACCTGTGAGGTGTGGGCTGTGCTGTCTTCAGCCACACAAAAACACAAGCTCGCGTGTGAGCTTGCCAGCTGCCTTGAACATAATTCCTACACCACTGCCCCTGACCTAAGAGTGAGATGATGGTGTCACCCTGCGCTTCCCCGTCTGCCTGTCCTGCCTGGACAAGATGCAGCCCAGCACCTGGGTCCCGGAAGTGCCTGGCCACCGTGGATGCCCACGACTTTTTCTGGACGTGGTGGCCGCGGTGGCCGTGTATGGATGTCCCTGAGTAAGGAAGAAGTTGGAAATGCTCTTGTGGTTTGGGCTCAGTGTCACATCGTGTACTGGATGGGTGATTTAGTGAATCGCTGCTTTTCTGTTAGTCTGCGTTTGCGGCATAGTGGTCACATCCTTCCTGGGGAGTTCATCTATGAACAACATGCACCCTCATTCCTTCTTCACCTCCGTCCCCTCTCCCTCCTTGGTCCCCTGCCCTCCATCTTGGGTCCCCTCCTAGTGATCTCCCTCAGGCCCTGACAGATCATCCTGGCTGCCTTCAAATGCAGCTATTTCAGGGTAGAGCTTTGCGTTTGCATCTGTTTTCTTTTTGAAGAAGCATCTCTTGGGGAGCCTTTTTTCTAATTGTGAAAATAATAAGTGCTCATGAGGAAAAATGGAAACCAGAGAAAAGTACAGGGAAGAAAAATCACTCACAATTCTGGCAGCCTGTGAATGCTTTGTGTGTTTTCTCACAGTTCCTATGTGTGAAATGTGATATAGTCTAAGAATGCAGCTATGAAAGACCGAGCAAGTCAAGGCTGACCTTGTTCACACCAATGTGCATTTCCTGCTCAGAACCCCATTGCCGCCATTTTACCAGTCTGAAGTACTCTTTGGTATAGCTCGTGAAGATGAAGTCTACCATCTCCCATTTTTAACATTTAGATTGTTTTCCACTTTCATATAATAAGTCAGGATTATTTGTAAGTCTTTCTTTTGTTACTCATTAGAATCGATTTCCGGGAGTATGAGAAGGAAAGACACAAACTTCTTTTAAGTCCTTGATACACAGTTGAAAATGACCTCTAGCAAGATGTCCTTTCTACGTTCTCTCAACAATGCCTGGGGGTGTCTTCCTTATACAGTCTCACTAGGAAAATGAGAATTACTTTTTTCCATCTATGTGAACAGCAAAAATAATGTATTTTTGTTTTAATTTGTAGTTTTGTAATTAATAAAGTTAAACATTTTCTCAGATTTGTGGTGATTTATATTTCCTTTTGTGTCTTTTGGTGTTGTTTTTGAGACAGGGCCTCTCACTATGTCGTCCAACCTGACCTTGAACTCACAACAATCCTCCTGCCTCAGCCTCTGGAGTGCTGAGATTACAAGTGTGTGTGTCACCACACCTGGCTTGTGTTTTCTTTTGAAGGAAGATTTTTGTTTTTTTCTTTTGGCTGTACTGGGGATTGAACCTAGGACTTTTGCACTGAGGTACATCCCCAGCCATTGATACAGAGCCTCACTAGGTCTCTGAGTTGCTCCGCCTGGACTTGAATTTGCAATTTTCCTGCCTCAGCCTCCTGGAGTACTGGAATCACAGTGTGTACCAGCAGGTCTGGCTTCGTGAAGGCCTGGCTCTGATCCTGGTCCCATGTGTGGCTGTGCTGTGCCCTGGAGGGCACATGACCAAGAGGACCTTGGGGCTGCCATCCAGCTGGGCTTCCCATGGGCGTCCACCCACAGCACCTCCCAGTGTCTGGACAGCTGTCCCACCTGCATTGGCAGTGACTTCTTCTCATTACTGAAAACAGCCAGGGTATTGACACTCATGCCCTTGACTTGTAAGAATCTTTATACACCTAAAACTATTAACTTCTCACCAAAATTGTGGCTATCACTTCCTCAAAGTTGAGTTCATGACTTAGAAAAATGTTCACAGGTTCATGTTGTATGTCAGTGCAATTGTGTTTCTCTGTGTGAGTCCTTTCGGTACTTTCAAGTACTGAGAGTTTAAGATCGACCTCGTAGACTTCACTCATTAAAGCTTTCTTTTATTTTATTCTTCCTTTCAGGTTATGTAAGAGACCTTTGTAAGAGGAAGTTGATTCGTACTCAATCTAGGGATAGCCGTCTTCTACCACTAGATATATTGGCCCTGTCAACATTTTGAAATCCTTATTTGCACTCCTTTTGCTATGCATGTACCTGCAAATACACTGATGCAGGGATGGGGTGGTGATTTATATACTGAGTAGCAACTGAGTTTTTGAAATGGTATTTACTATAGATTGTTTTCCACTCTGATAAATATTTTAATAGACCTATTAAACATTCAAGTTTATTTAGTCCTTTCTCTGTTGTACATTTAGATTTTGTTTTTCACTGAAGTCAATATTTAAGAAGTCATGCTTATAACTAAATCTTTATGTAATCCTGAACTATGTTCCTGAAAAACATGCACTTTTCAAAGACGTGCTTTGCATTTCTACAGCACCACTCGGACGTCCCCGGTTCAGTGAGTGCTGACAGCACTGTGCTTGACCAGGTGGCATCCATACCCCTCCGACCAGCAGTACTATCGTCTTCTGCCTTTGCCAGTTTGATAGGTAAAGGTGGTAACTTGCTCTGAAGTGCATTTCTTTTCTTCATGTTTTCAAGGTGTATTTGCTTCCTTTCTTCCTTCCCTCTCTCCCTCTCCCCACACTTCCTTTCTTCCCATCTTTGTTTTTTTTTTTTGAGCTAGGATCCCACCCATGACTTGTCCATGCTAAGCATACCTTCTCACTGACTCCATCCTCAAATTGTATTTTCAATCTTAGTCAAACTTTATGCATTTTTTAGAGACAGACTTGCTATGTAGTTCAGGCTGATCTTAAACTCATTAAGTAGCCCAGGCTGGGCTTGAACTTATAGCAATCCTCCTGCCTCAGCCTCCCAAGTGCTGGTTTTACAGTGCAACTTCATCTGGCTGTCTTTAGGATCTTAAAAGCCCTTGGGTTTGGTAGTGTTAAGCCATGGGGGCGGGGGGTTGCCAGAGAAAAACCCCTGATTCTCAGCCTGCCTTTGTCACTGAGCACAGGGTCCCAGGATTCCAGGGTCCCCAATCAAAGACTTGAAGCTCTGGGAATTTAGTCAAGGGATGAGGACCTGCACCTCCAAACAGACCAACTGTGAGCGAGCTCGGGGCTCA